TGTGTCCCTGGGCAAGTTGCCTAACATCTCTGAGCATTATCTTCATCTTCAGAATGGGAGTAGGGCACCTATCTTACCAGGCTATAACTGGACCAATGAGGCGGGAAGGGCCTGTGTCCCAGTCCTGAGAACCCCACCACATTCAGTTACTGCTTGTTAAATGAATGAATGGCCCAAGAAAGAGCTTGATTAATATCAGACAGTCCATGATAGCACTGATGTCAGACACCGTTATATCCTGAAACACTAAGAAGGAAAAATTTTTAAAATGTTGCCAATGAAGACATAACCCAGTGTTTTTTTAGCACCTAGAATTTTTATCCCATACTTACTCAAGGATCTCTTTTGAGCTTAATAAGACATAAATTTCTATCGCAGATCACTACTGAGTTTACATTAAAAGGAAAAAATCAGGGAAATCAATGGACTGAGTGTTCCTAATACTTCTCCGAGGTCAGAGCCACCTATGAATTGATCCCCCCACCCCCGCAACCCACAGCCCCGTCCCCCTTAGCCTCTGCCTGGTGGGTGAGTGGATCCGAGTTCCCTCCATGCTGTTGCCCTGTGTCTTCCTGCACCTTGAGGAAGATCCCTTCCTCCCCCCAGGCTTTGTGGCTTTCTCCATCGAGAGTTGGTGCCTGAGAGGTGAGGGGCCTCCACTATCCAGCCGAGGATACCTCCTTAGGGACAGTCACATCCTGCTGACACAGGGCCCACAGTGCCTGGAACATACACCCCCCCAACAGTCATATGAACCCAGATTTCAGAAATGGGAAGATGCCGTCTTAAAGTCAATGAGATGCAGTGTAATACAATGTGAGAACTAGGACAAAGGGAACTTTTGAAGTCACAAAAGGGAGGGGCCCCTGCAAAGGCAGGAGAACCGCCTTCTGCTGCACCATGGATGTGGAGTGGCCTAGGGACCAAGGCCAATGAAGAACTTCAGACTCAGATGCATGACCCTGTTGCTGTTGTCACCTTTCTGCCCTGCCCACCTATGAGGAAAGAGGAGTCCTGGCTTCCTTACTTCCCTAAAGTGGGGCTGGGAGGATGGTTTTGGAGATGTTTCTTTCAGCTCAGAAAGTCTGGGGCCAGACTGAGCTGGAGGGGCCTATGGGGCCTCTGTAGTCATTCTTAGCCTGGCTGCAGCCCTTGAGAAACCTGGGCCTGGAGAGGCCTTGGGGGCAGAGGCTTGGGGGATCAGGTGGTCCCTTGAGTGTAGAAACGAAATCAGGCAGTGGGGCAACCAAAGACGGAGGAGATGCCTGGTTTCTCCTTGGACCCTGGAGCTCCAGGAAGGTCCCTAGGAACTGTTGCTTACTCCAGGTTGAGCGGCGGCTGAGCGCCGCTTCAGGCCCTGGTTTCCCCTTAGGTAGAGTAAGAGAGCACCCTCCGGCTCCAGGAGACGCAAACCTCGCACCTGGCGGGGTTAATGTGGCCCTGGGTCCCTGTTTCTTTTCTTCCACGTTATGGGTTCTCACCAATGACCCTACAGGAGAATCCAGAACAGGGGAAGAGTGTAAACCTGAGTAAACTTTATTTGTTAAAAAGAGGGGCAGCAGAGGCGGGGATGGGGAGCCCCCGCCCGGTTGCGCCTGTCATATCCTGGTGGTGCCGGCTCCGCGCAAAACCAGCGGCTAGTCGGAGGCTCTGAAACGGGCTGCGGACCCCAGGCCGGCCGCGAGAGGCCCACTTCCCCCTGAACGCTTCCTGCGATCCTGGTCTGAGCTGAGCGCTGCACAGAGCTGGGCTCCCGCTTCCGACAAGAAGAACGACTTGCTCAGGATCGGGGTCACAATCCCCCATCTCCGGCCTGCTCTTCAGCCAAAACTCCCCCAAAGTCCCCCGTCTTGCCCAGGCCTCTACCCCCACCCCATAAAGCCCAGAAGCGCAAACTTCGCTCTCGCCTCCGAGCGCTGCTGTCTGGCTAATCCCGGGTGCTGCTCACGGGGTCCTGGCTGCCACGGGCGTTCCCCGTCCACCCCCATTCCAGGTCCACTTATCTCGCGATAAGTGGCTTCGGGCCTGGGCTCCGGGCTCCAGAGACACAGCCGCGACCTCCTTTGCTCTCCGGTGTGGTCTCCGGGTTTTGTTTCCCAGGACGTTGGGGCGGAGAAGAGATTTGTGCAGCAGAGGGGGAGGGAGCGAGAAGACCGTCCCTCCCCGAAGGCCCGGGCCTGGAGAGAGGGGAGCGGTTGCCACCAGGCAGGGAGGGGGCTTCCGCACAGGGTGGCCAGGGCGGCCGGGATAGGGTGTCACTCAGGCCTGGCGACTGCATCACCGTCCGTGGATGGGTTGCCGCTCTTCACCTAGAGTCCTGGTTCTGCGGGCTACGGCCCGCGGTAGAAGTCTTGGGATGGTCAGTAAAACTTCTGCCTCCGAGCCTTCGGTTTTTTTCTGGAGCGGGCCTGAGCTTCCATCGGGTCTCATAGGAATTACCCAAGCAAGGAACCCCGAGGTGCCAGGACGCAGCCGGCACACGGCCCCGTCCTCTCCCGGGCCTCCGGGTCTCGATCTGCTGCAGTCACCCCGTGCCCTGTCCGCCGAGGAGCACAGCGACGCAGGCGGTGACAGAAACCCCTCCCACCCCCTCTCGCACTGGAATCTGGACCCCCTCATTTGGGGCCCAGCTCCCCCACTGACCGGCTGGTGACCTCATGACAGCAGTGCCCCCATCAGGTTCCCCAGCTGTGCCTGGAGGGGTTGCCCTTGCGCTGTGGCACCGGATTTGCTGTCCGCCCTTCCTCTCTCCCTCCCTCTTAGAGCCCTAGTGCTTTATGGCCCTTTCCTCCAGTCCAGTGAGGGGGCTGCCTTGGGGAAACACCATAGAACCACAAGGCAATCTGCCCGAGGTTGCATTCCTCAGATTTAATAAAACCTGAGGACCCCGAACGAGGTCCCAGAATGGACTGAAGGACTGTGGGTCAGTACGCCTCCTCTCTCCTCTTCCTCTCTCCTTCCACAACTCTGCATCGTTAACAAAGGCTGTGATGGAATTTCTGTCCCCTAGGCCCAGGAGGTACAGAACTCGAATTTTCACTCCCACCCCTGCCACACTTCGAGGTGGAGAGGATTAAACTCAGAAGCGTACCTGACTTGGCTAGCCTGGGCCTGGCTCAGGAAGATTACAGCAGGACCACTACATTGAGCAGAACTGGGGGTAACCCTAAGGGCTGGAAGGGATTAGAAGGTGCACTCACACACTGATGGTCCATTCCTTCCCTCCGGACTGCAGGTTTTCTCAGGCCCTTCAGGGGACAGTGACAAGTGAATATTCTGGGAGCTGTTTCAAGGTTAAGAGCCTAGAAAGGGAGCTTATTTTCCAAAGACTTGGCAGGGCTGGGGCTTGCAGAGAATTGCCTGCTGCCCTCAGAAAACACCCTCTTTCTCACTCCTCCCAGCCTTAAACCAAGGCCTGAGATGCTCGGGTACCAGTAATCCAAGTGCAGGTTTCAGGAAAGGGCGATCAAGCAGCGATTTAAAAAGGAAGTCATCAGCCGCTGCAGGTGGAGGCCATAACGGTTTTCCCATACTGAAATGCAAAGTCTTCGTCTCAGCATAATGTTCCTGACTCTCTTTCCCTCTTATTTGCACCTGCAAGGACCTGGTTTCAAATCTCCCTCCTGTTTGGAACTCTGCAGGACCAAGTTTCCATCTCTCCCCTAGCTTTAACCAGCAAAATGGCCATTTTTCCATTTCCATACCCTGGTGGTAGTCCTAGGAAGCACAAAAACAGCAACCAACATGCAAGCTCCCAGCCCAGACTAGACCAGAGAGGAGGCAACCAGGAGGCAACCGAGGCTTTCCGTGTGTGGGGAGAGGGGAGGGAGGGCAAACACGTGCCACCAAGCCGCGCCCCTGGAAAGGGCACCCTGCGTGACCTTGAGCAGTTTGGAGTCCTCGGCCCTCTGCCTCGGTCAGGTACTCCCACAGGTGCCGGTACTCGGCTGCCAGATGCCTCCCTCCTGTGTATACCGTGGAAAACTTGAAAACTCAGGGAGGCAGGCGCCTCTGCAGGCTGGAGCTGCTGATGGTGGCCGGCCTCTGTGCAAACCCCGAGTCCTTGGTTTCCCATAGGCCTCAGGAAGGGCTGGCCCGTACAATCTCAAGGACCTCGCAGTTAGTCCTTAAAGCCCCAGGAGACTGAACCAACAACAGGAGGCGGCTCTCAGCCCCGGGCAGCTTCCGGAGTGAGCGCCGCGGTGCCCTCGGACTGGCGACCCCTGTCTAGCCCTCTTGCTACCGTCTGGAGTGCCCTGGGCTGAGAAGGAAGGGCAGGAGGTTCAGAGTGGCCCTCACGCCCAGAGTGGAAGCGATTCCTAGGATCCTGCAGCGACCGAGCTGCCTGCGTGCCCGGCCCAGGCCAGGTGGAGCAGGTCACGGCTCGAGTCCACGTAGCCCGGGGAAAGGATGTTTCAGAAGACACTGCGCGTGTCCCTCTTACCTCGCCGCGTCCCCCCTGCCAACGTCGCGGATTCAGAAACCGCCCCCCCATCAAGTCCCGCTGTGTCATAAAATATTTTATTGGAAAAAAATCACCGTCTTCGTAAGAGAGGGGTAGGGGCCCCAGAGATGTCGGGTTGTCCGGGCGCCATCTCGGGCCGTGGTGGCCTGCGCCGGGCCGCGGGGTCCCCAGACGCGCGGAAGCGGGTGTGTGCCTGGAGGCGTCCGGGCCCGGGGGGGCGGCCCGAGGCGACTGGGGGGTGCAGGATAGGATCGGGGCGTGAATGCTCCTGGAGCGCCTGGCTACGGCGAGCTCCGAGAGGAGGCGACCTTCCGCCGCGCTGGACGTGTTTCCAGGCTAGGGCCCGCGAGCGCACGGGTTTGGCTTCAGGGTCTGTCCTTCCTTGTTTGGCCCCTAAATGTCCGCATTCAAGGTAATAATAAAAAGTTTAGAAAGCAAACGGCGTGGACGCAGAAGGGCCGACTCGCGGCTTCCGGCGGGTTATGGGGGCCGCGGACTGCGCTGGGGTTCCCTGGGCCCGAACCCTCTGCCGCACTCAGTCCTCGTGGCTCCGGTCGCCGGCCTCGCCCGGCGCCTCCGCCGGCTTCTCCGCTTCCTTGGCGCGCTCCTGCTCCGTGAGCTGTTCGCTCGTGGGGATGGAGTTCTTCTTGGGCCTCCCCTTGGGCTTGGTGGGAGACTCCAGGCCGCCGCCCTGCAGCACCTGCGCGGGAGACGGGCGGCACCGCGTTGAGCTGGGACTGGGCCGGGGACCCCCGCGCCCTGTGTCCAGGCAGGGCCTGAAGAGCCCAACGAGGCCATTCGAGGCCGCGCCTAGCCCCCGGGAAATGGCGGCCATTTGTCTGAGCGCTGCTAGGGAAAAGCGACCAGAGGGTCCGGCAGAGGGGTTCAAGTCTTCCAGGAATCCTGAGGGTTCAGGGAGCGCGAAAGGAGCTGAGCTAGGGCACCCAGTGGGACAGAGAGCAGAGAGGGTCCCTCTGGGCACCAGGCACCGAGGGAATCGGGAGGGTTGGGCATAAGTCTCCATGGTGGAGCACCTCTTGAAGAAGGCTACAGGGGCACGGCCGCAAATAGAGGGCGCAGAATGCCACAAAAACACTCACTATTTTCTTCCACTTCATCCTTCGATTCTGGTACCACGTCTTCACCTGCAACTGGCTCAGACCCAGGGACTCGGCGAGATCTATTCTGGAAAGAGCGGGGTGCACCCTCAGCAGGGCAAGCAGCCCCCCTCCCCCTACCCGCTGGGCTTAGCCTGGCCCCGCGCTACCTGTCGGGCGTGGAGAGGTACTTCTGCTTCTCGAAGCGTTTCTCTAGGCCCATCAGCTGCAGCTCGGTGAACACGGTGCGGCTCCGACGCCCCTTCTTGGCCTTGGTGCCCGGCTCCCCGGCGCCAGGCGCCTCCAGCTTCCCGCGGAGCTGCAGCTCGAGCGGCAGGTGCGGCGCGCCGGCAGCGCCGGGCAGCCCAGGCCCCGCAGCAAGCAGCGCCGAGCCCAACCCGGAGCAGCCAAGCGGCGCCAGCGGGAACTTAAACACCGCTGCCTGCTCGGCCTTCAGCACGGCTGCGGGGAGAGAGTGGGGAGCCGGGTGAGCTCGGGCCTTGCTCCTCCTCCTGGAGATCCTCGCACCATGCGCCCTAGCCGAGAGCTCTCTCTCAGCCGGTGACCCCAACACAAAACCTTCGCGCTGGCCGGGAAGTGAGAGATTTGCGCCAGGCACCTAGGCTGAACCTCCTCGACGCCAGGGTCCCCAGAGTCTGGGAAGGGGACCTCCCCCACCCGGGCTCTGCCTGGCATTCTCCAGGCCCCAGCTGCTCTGAGATTTCAGGATTCTCAATGAACAAGGTCGAAGCTCCCAAACACATAGAGTATGTGTCACGGAAAAGGGAAACCAAGAAAAAACGGCACAGAGTTAGGAAGATAAGCATTTGCCCCAACTAAATAGGCTTTGCTGCATTCGGGGGTGTGGGGAAGAGTTTCAGTGGAGGAAGCACATCTGCTCTTCTGTGCAGGGCAAAACAGCCAATTCTGAGGGGCAGACAGCGGGTTGTCAGCAGGGGTGAAGTTGGGCGCTTCCCGGAAATTCCAAAGCACCCCAAGAAATGGGAAATTTGTTCTTCCTGTTTTCTCCGTTTAGACTCTTCCCCACGAAGACGTTTCAGTTTTCATTAGTCCTAAACGATTTTTTTTTTTGCCCGCTTCAAACGAATTATTAACAGTGCAGCTGGAGGCAAAAGGCAGCAGAGATTGGACTCAAAACGAACAAACTGGCCCTGCGGCCCCCCAGGCAGGCGGAACACTGGCTGGAGGTTCACTGCATGTGGAGGAAGTCGGCTCCCTGGGCTGAGGTCACGCTAGAACGTAGGAGGGCTCCCTGCCCAGATAGGCATCTCACTACCAGTGAGTGCTCTAGCCCCGATGGAATCGGGAAGGGCCCAGGCAAGATGTGCGGGTGAGTATGAGGAGAGAGCCCAGAGGGGAGAAAGGATCCTTGGGGGAAGATGAGAAAGGAAGGGCAGACCCACCCCACTGAGAGAGGCCGGTTGGAGAGAGACGGGGAAAGGCCAGAAGAAGGGGTGCAGTGGAGAGGGCACAGAAGGTCAAGACAGGGCCCCGACAAGGAAAGAAGAGAACCGAAAGGGACAGAAAAAGCCTGAGTTGCTGGTTCAAGCTCTGCCAAGGTGCAGCCGACCTGGAGCAGAAGGGCCATTCGGGCAGCAGCTCACAAACAAGCCTCTTGTCCCCAGGCAAGGCCCAAGGGGCTCTGTGCTACAGCACAGGTCGGTTCGTCGCCAGCCTGAGACCCCGGGGCTCTGGGAGGCTCCGGGCTGGCTCGGGCCAGCGTCAGCCCCCAGTATAGCACTCGGAGACACGGGCCTCTTTCCCAAAGGTCCGGCTTTCCCGGCTTGGGCAGCCGCGGCCACTCCCAGCCAGCTCTCTGTGGGAAGGCCCAGGCGCCCGCGGCCTGAGGTCGCTTTGACCCGAAGTCTGACATTAGTAGTCTGGTCCAGCGCCCACGATGGGGATGCGGGCTCGGGTCCCCGGGCCTGGACTCCTCGGGGCTGGAAACCGCAGGGTCGCAGCGAAGAAGAGAGCGAATGCCCTCCCGGCAGGCCTGGCCCACGGGCACGAGGCCTGGCTTCTGCGCGGCCCAGCGCCTGCCCCCTTTGCTTCCCCGCCGGGAGCGCGCAGAGGGAACGGTCGGGGGCCTGCGTTCCCGGAGCTGCGTCCGAGAGACGCCGCGGCTCGCTTCCTCCCGCCGAGCCCGGCCAGCGCCCCGCGGCCCCAGGCCCCGCACGTACCCAGGTGGCTGTGGAAGGGCCGCGCCGCCAGCAGAGCCTGCACGCCGAACTTGAGCAGCTCGCCCGCGGCGGCGGCGGCAGCGGCAGGAGCGGCGCCCTTGGGCCCCGGAGGCTCAGTGAGGATTTCCTCGATCATGAAGCTGCGGTAGCGGTGCGGCCGGTGGTCGGCGCAGCCCTCGGGCGGGCCGAAGCGCACTGCGCCCGGCTCCCCCGGCCGCTGCATCGCGGCGCCCCGGGGCTTGGCGGCGGCAGCGGCTGGGGCGCGGGGCCCGCGCGGGGGTCTAGGCCGGCCCGCAGATCCGGGCGGCGCGCGGGCGCCGGTTCATGCCCCCTCCCCCGCCGGCCGGCCGGGCGGAGGCACAGGGCGCGGGCGGGGCGCGCGGGGCTCGGCCGGTCGGACCCGGGACTGCGCCCCCGCCCCACTCTGCCGCGCCTCTAGCCCCGCCGGCCCCGCGTCACCGCCCCGCCCCGCCCGGCCGCCCCGCCTCGCGTCGCCGCCCCCCACCCCCCAGGCCGAGCCCGAGGGAGGGCCAGAGATGGGAGGGTGGCAGGAGGGAGGGGGCCGGGAGAGGGGCCGACCGTCCCAGACAGAAGGAGACCCAGCGGAGCGCACGCCCAAGAAGGATCGAGCCGGAGAGCTCGGGAGACAAGACCCCCGGGGATGGGAGCTGAGGGATCGAGAGAGAGGTGAGAGAGGGTCTACAGCGAGACAGCGAGGGCCACACAAGATGCGAGACAGTGACGTGAGGATGCCAGGGACACCGAGACGTGCGCAGAGAGCAACCGACAGAGGCGCGGGAGTCAGCGGGCCCTGACGTGCCGGAGAGCACAGAGGCAAGCAGGACAGAAAGAGGGGGCAGTTAAGAAAGAGATGGGACAGCTATCAAGGCGAGCGGCCTGGGCGGGGTTTAGGGAGCCCCGGAAAGATCAGGAGGAGGAGAGGCAGAGACCCCGAAGCTCGGCTGGAAAGGGGGTGGCGGTGCTGAGCCTCCGTGCCAGGACGCATGGCTGCCCGCCCGGGCGGGAGTGCAGCAGTGGGCCGGGTGCAACTCGCAGGGTAGTAGCTTCACCTGTGCCTCAGTTTACCAGGTACCGCCTCATTTCTCCTGAACTGCCCTGAGAGGCAAATTTCTCCAGCCAGAATTTGCTTGTATTACCAAGTGGTATGTGGACACATCTACACAACCCTAGACGCTGTGGAGTGGGTTGTGTTCCCCTAGTTCTAGCAAGAGATGGTTGCCAGGACAAGGAAAGCCTGCAGCTTTGCCTTTTCGCAGTTTTGGAGCAACAGAGAAAACCAGTACTGGGTGGAGCTGGGTGAGAAGCCACAGGGTGCCCTGGGAGTCTGGGGATAAACTCTGGTGTGACCAGCCTCCTCTCTGAACTGTAAAGTCCCCAGTGTGACTGAGGAAGGCCAGAGGCTTTGCTAGCTCCTCTCTTCATCATTGGGGGAATATAAGTCCAAGTCGTGGGGTGAACAATCCCAAAGCCCAACTCTCCGCTGAGTTTATCTCTTTGGCGATGCCACTTGAGGCAAGCCACGGCCCCATTCTGGACCTCAATCTCCTCACCTGTCCCTGAGAAGATGCTGACACTCGGCTCCAGGGAGGCTGTGAGGACTTCGTGCGGGGGGAGGGGGGTGTGGGTGGGGTGGGGGCTGTTCCCATGGGCTCCACAGGGTCTGTTAGAGAGGAGTATATAGTTTGTCCAGGCAAGGAGGGTGGGGTGTCAGTGGAGATGGATGGGTGTCCCCAGGAGACTGGGGAGGGTGCCTGCCCCTCTCCTCCTGCCCATCGGGAGTCCCTTAACTGGGGTCCTCGGCCACTTCTCCTTCTCATGTGAGCTCTGCCTTGGGCCTCAGTGGTCACCTCTGAAAAATAGGATCTACCACACCCATGGCCCTGCCCCAAGATGGTGCATCTTCTGTAGCTCCAGCTGCTAGTGGTGAGACCCTGGCACCTGCCCCAGACCCTGTGTGGACTGGGAGATGCCCAAGACTCATTGTCCATAGGGACAAAGAGAATGTCTTACCAGAGTCTCTAAAAGCCCAGCTGCCTCTCCCCCTAGAGGCTGAGTGACTTCAGCCAGGGCTGCACCTTTCTGAACCTCTCGGCCATCATCAGAACTGAAAGGTGGCCTCCAGGTGCTCCATGTGTGGGTGATCTTGTGAGTCACATAGCTTCTCAGAAGGGGACAGTGTGGGACCTACTAAGAGTGATGGTATCCCATACTAGGCAGGCCTCTATCCCAGTAGGAGGTAGACAGACAGGGGTGGTTCTGTGCCACCTCTGTTGGCCCAGCAGCCACCCGGCAAACAGAGAAAAGCCAGTGTCTCCTGGAGCCCTGGGCAGTCCAGCTGGGACCCCTCCCTAGATAGGTGCTTGGGTGTCACCCAGTCCAACCACCCACTTTCTCAGATGGTGAAACTAAGGCCCAGGAAAAAGAAAGTACTGGCCCAGGGACCACAGGGAGCAGGGTTGCTCCCTGTGTATATGGTATGGGGCCCATTTTTCTCTCACCTCCCTCCACCCAGTAGGGCCCACTGGCCATCTCTTTTTTCTTCTCCTCCTCCCTTCCACATCTTCCCGAGGGCATAGCCTATTCTGCTGTGAGGGTTAGGCCTAGCCACCCCCACTCCATCCCTTCACCTCCTATTTGGGCCCCTGACTGAAGCCACCTGGTTTTGAACCATCTCTGCTCCACACAATTGCCTCCCTGAAGGTCTGAGGTCCTCCAGGTGGGAGCTCAGGACCCAGATCAGAGGACTTGGGAACCACATCGATCAGCTCTCACCAAATCCATTTTGCCCCCGGTCCTGGGTCAGGTTTAGGGGTAGGAGGTTATTTTCAGTATTGAGGCCTCACCTCTAGATTTTGGGGAGTCAGAAGATCAGTGCTGTCTAGCCCCCACCCTATTTCACGGGTGCTGAGTGGTCAGAGTGCTTCCCCTCAGCTCCTCGGGATAGTTCCAGGTGGCTGCGGCTGAGGGCTGAGCAGTGGCGTCCGCTGGGAATGAGGCCCCAGGGCCCTTTTGGGGAATGCCCTGGAGCATTGGAGGTCCGAAGGGCTAAGAGAGCCAGGTCCGCCCAGTCACCCCTCAAGGCCCTCCCCTTGGTGGGTAGGCCTCTGATCTACCCCCTCCCGGTCTGTCTGTGCACCGCGTGATCCCAGAGAGAACTACAGATAAACCCCTTTTAGGCGAAAAAATGTTCAAAACAGCAGCAGGGCCTCCTCTGCTCGGGAATTGCAGCATTGTTGGCTGGGAAAGGATTCCCAGAGAGAGGGGTCCCTCCTCCCTGCGGGAACAGAGGCCCAAAGAAGGAAAGCCCCCCCGCACCCCGGGCGACGGGGCCTCGGGGCCTCTCCCGAGGTCCCAGCCCTGCAATCCCCACCCCAGGGGCGCAGCCGCCGTGCCCAACTCCTGGGACCCAGCCCGGGCCTCCAGCCGCCGTTGCCGCCGCGAAAATCCCGGAAACCGTCCGCTCTCGGCGGGCGCAGTGGAAAAGGTGACCTCAGCGCCCGCGGCCAGCCGCCCTCACCGGCGGCCAGGCGGCGAGGGGCTTTGGGCGGTAGGGGGGTCTCGGCGCCGCCCGGACGCCGGGTGAGGCCCCCTCCCCACCGCTGCTCTGCTCCTCAGACCCCACAGCCGCGTTGGAGGGGCAACGCGAGGGAGAGGGTTACCTCCCTCCTTAATAGAACCCTCTCAGGCTAGGCATGCCAGGTTCCAGAACTTCTCCTCCTCCACCTAAGCCCTCCTCCTCCCCTAGCGCTTCCCGGGTCGGTTTCTGGAGCCGATTGGGCGAAGGGGTCCCCGAACCACTGTACAGATGGGGAAGCTGAGTCCGGATGTTGGCAGGCCTGGGCAAGGTTGGTGGCCAAGGTCTGGGTGCTTCTGCATTACCTGGAGTGTTCTGGGCCCAGCTCCCCCTCCAGCACCCACCCAACCCCGGCCCTTTTTCGTTCGTCCTCCCTCCCAGTTGTCGCGGGTTTTTATCCTACTTGTCAAAGCAGAGGTGGGGATGGGAACCAAGGGGCGCTTTCTTCTGGATCGGTCAGCTCACCGTCTAGAAGCTGCCAACGGGGAGTCCTACACCTCCCCCCACCCCCAACTGACAGACCGGGAAACCGGAGGAGCTTCGCTGTCCCTGCCCTCGCACCCCACGCCCTGTGCCGGGCCTCCTCTATGAGGACGCGCACGGTCAGTGCCCGGAGCGAAGGTCATCCTCCACTCGCTTCTTTCTGTAAACTGTCGCTTCTGATTGTCCCCGGCCCAGGGCAGGCTGGCGCTGGAGGCGGTGGCTATCAGGCGGGCGCTCCGGCTCGGTCTCCGTGGGCAATGCCAGAAGGAAGCCACCTGCACTCGGCCGGGAACGCATCGTTCGGTCTGAGGCCCATGCCCGTTCTTGCGCCTAGTGTCTGAATCCAAGACTGCCGACATCTGTCTTGCCTTCAAAACAGAAAATCTCGAGGTTATAAAATTACTCCGTCTCCACGCTCGCAAGTCACATCTCCCGGTGACCGCACAATCACTTTCTCGCTGGCGAAATGGGTCTCTAATGACGCCTTCCTTTATGAACATTTCAAAGTCATGTGTGGACTTTTCGTTTTGAATCATTTCAAACACCTGTGAGCTCGGGGCTCAAAGCGCGTTTTGGGACAGCACCTTGAGACACATTCCTCTCTCTCCCTTTCAAATTCTCCCTCTTCAAGTAATTTACAAATTTGTTCCTTTGGAAATAGTTACTTTATTTTTGTTTTGTAGCTAATTTTTAATGTGTGCTTTTCTTTAGAAGTGTGAGTTTTAAAAGATAGATCCATAGGTAGGTAGTAATTGCCTTGACGTAGCTAAGACCCGGTTTTTGATGCCCCCAGAAACCCAGAGCGATCCTGCTGGTCACAGCGCAGACCCCGGGCCATTCTGCACCACACCCCTCCCCCCACTCCCAGGCATTTCAGCCTGGCCCGGGAGGCTCTAGCAGCTACCTTGGTTCCTAGTAGAGTCGTGAGAAATAGCGGCACCCGAGGCCACAACCTGGGCCCGGAAGTAGTGGCCGCGGGTGCCTCGGCTCGCTGGGGCCCCAAGGCTTGCTCAGGAGCTGCTGCGCGCGGATACCGAGGCCGTATGTGGGCAGCCCGGGGAGCTCCTTTGGGCTTCTCCCGGTGGTGGCGGTGGCGTGTGCGGGTCCTTTCAGAACATGCCCTGAGACAAGGGCGCCGTGCTCCG